ATAATAATAATTCAAAAAATGATAATAATAAATTGCATACTGCTCAACCCTGTTATGACACAGCTTGTGAATACAATTACCTGTGTGGTATTGTCGAGATGATACCTTACATGTTAACATTTATGCTGTGTAACAGTCTTATTCTCAAGGAAGATGGTGACCAATAAGCAGGACGAAACGAAAACAACTTGTCAAATTCATTATTCTTTTCAATAATTACCTTCCCCTCTCCCTCCTTGCTGCATTATTCTTTTTACATAATAATACAAAACACCACGCAACCCTTCTGTTATGACGGGAAATTCAGTTACTTTCCAGTCGTATCAAATTAAATAAATAAATATACTTTTGTTGAAAACATAAGGCAGAAGAGTCAACTTGAATAAGGTGTCTTTTTGTAAAAGGCGCTCAATCCTTATAGTATATTCATTCTGGCTTGATGGGCAAGTGCAAGTCAGTGGGGGGTTTAATACTGGTGCTGTGAACACTAACTAAAGCTCCAAAGTGTTGTCTTTATAATAGGCCTAATTTTAAAGTACTTAATATTACTCATGGGAAAAGAAAAGCATAAAGACTCTGACCAAAAAGTGGTCCCCTTTTTTTTTCTTGATTGCCTGTGCATTGTAACAAGATAAAAAGAAAAATGTGTGGCTGTTGCGCACAAAGTCGAAAAAAAACCCAAAAACCTTCCCACACGTCTTGGTCAGTCTCGGAGTTCTACGCTTGCAAATATAGGCGCACAATGCACCCAAACATATTTTTCTCTCAAACAGGTTTCCAGGAGTCAGTTTTTAGTTTTAGTTTTAGTAGAGGTTTTACGGCGTTTGAAACTGCATAAGGTCAAATGAGCGCCAGAATATTAGAGGCGTTATAAGAGAGTAAAAAAACATAAAAAAGAAGAAGGGGAGATAAGGACGTTAGATGTTTGATAGAAAAGAAGAAGCAAACCACAACAGAGCACCCGCCAATCACCCACCCAGGAGTCAAGGTTGTGCATGTCTATATTTCAATATTATGTGCGGGTGTTGAGAAAAATTACAACGGGTTCTTAAGCCTCTGCTGGGGTAAAAAAGAAACCCTCATAAATTGAAAAAAACCCAGTCATTTGATTAGTAACTTTGATTTATTAAGTCTTATAACAGTCTAATAATGCATTCAACAAGCACTAAATGCAATTATACTGGTAACATATGCGCACTTGGATATTAAAGAACACAACTGAAGTTTACATTTACAACACAATAAAAACAATATGATTATTTAATAATGACATACTTTCACAATCTGTGGTAAGCGTAGAAAAGTCAGATGGTTGTAAAAATCAAATCGGAGATCTTAATAATAATGCTGTAGTAAAGTCATAATGGCACGACTTCTTATTGTGATTTGATTACTAGGACTATGAGAAATTTTAAGCCAGTAATTTTTTGTTCATATGAATTGTTCTGCTCAAAACCACAGTGAAATCTTGGGAAAAAAAATGACAACCTTTTATGCCTACTTAACCATACGATACATGAAACTCTTACACGTCTTTTGTAACAAACTTGAGGAGTTTAACCATTAATTTGTCACATACATCAACAGCATCTCATAAACAGCTGAGGAAAGCAGAAGCTATAAATGAATGTGAGGCCATTGCGCAGGTTGAAGGCATGGACCATACAGTCAATTCATACATTTCACTCATCACAGAATAAAGTTATAATAAAACAAGAGCTTTCTTGTAGAGGTTCTCCATTTTTAATTTGAAAATGAATTTAATTAAAAAATAAACCAAAGTCAATTTGACTTCAGTGTTGTGGCCTCAGAAAACAAATGATACAATACGTATAACTGTGTATGTGGATCTAAATGCATTTGTGTTATGAGGTGGAATAAGGTGCTCGTCAATTTTTGGGCCCGTAGGAGAATTGGCAAGCCGCTTGTGGTCTGAACCACTGTGCACATTCCTTTACAACGATTTAGATCAAATTATTTTCCGGCAATTGCCAAAAATAGGTTTCTTTTACCGGAAGTTCATTCATTAGACAAAGTACTATATCATAATAAGTTTGCTAGTTTTGATGTAATGGCCCATCTAGTGACGTTTTCGTTACTTTTAGATTTAGTACCAAAAAAGGGCCCAAGTGTAGTGGGTCTACCTCCCTCGGAGATAAAGAGTTACAGCTTATCCATTTGTCTCGCTTTTGAAGACAAAAATATCCGATGAAAGAGGTTGAGGTATAGCAACTTTCCTGGACAGGATAAATGAACTTCAGTAGAGCAGGTAAACACAAAGGAATTTTCGAGACATTTCATCATTTAACACACCTGATTTACCCAATTTAATTTTTTTTCTTATTTGGTCGCCCATCGAAATTGTCAATACATATCACAGTCATCAGCCCTTTGCCAAAACTAGTGAAGGACCTATTAGTTAAACAGAAAATAGACCCCAAAAACACACAACGTCCACCCTGAAAAGAACAATCATCGAGCAAGCAAACCTGACTAGACAAAAATGTTATTCTTTTACTACTATTAGACAAGGCAGGGTACACTTTAATCACAAGGTTAGTTCTTACCTCAAACATTTAGTTCTCAACAATAGTCTGAAAATACAGAAATATACAGACGAAGAGATGGAAGGGATCTGTAGGCAAGTAGGCTACTGTTGTATTGAGCAACTCTTACTCTTCACTCAGGCTTCCATGTGGCACCAGTACAACAGAACATTGACATTGACATTGTATTGGTTCACAGCCTCCTGCAACACTATACGTTTATTTTAAAAAACAGGACCTTAGGATTTGACGTCTATAGGATTGAGCCAAAAGGGAAAGTTTTTGTTCAGTGTTCTAAAAGAAACAACATCAGACGTGTTTCTAAAAGAAACAACATCAGACTTTTCTAAAAGAAACAACATCAGACGTGTTTCTAAAACATCAGACCGAGCAAGAGCAATGGAATGTCCCTCTCCAACAAAATTATAGCAAAAAAATAAAAGATTTTTAAAATGATGAGCTTAAATAGAGTTTACTTGAGGCACTACCACCAGTCAAGAATTGGTCCCCTTACTCTATTTTTCTCAAACAAAGTATTATATCTAGTACCTAGGCAAAAGAAAATTGAAAAATAACATTACTCTGAAAATAAAATTACTTAAGTGCAATGATTGATGGTCTCAAGGACAGTTTCTTCGAGGCTAGTATGAACATAGCATCAGATGATGCAAGCACAGAAGACCCCCCCAGCAAAAATCAGACATTTCCATGAACACGAAAATATCTTGCACATAATCCGTTGTGGATTTTTAGAGGGCTGTACAGATGGGACCTACTTCTTTCCTTTCATTCTGTAGTTTCTCGTAGTACGTTATTGGTTTTTCCTTGCACTTAAAGACTCTGGTCTTGTCGATATACTTCTTTCTACACAAACAAAACCCAAATGAATGCGACATTAGATGAGTACCGGTACCAGCACTGAAAAAATAGTTATTTATTCATATTCCAGTAAATTCTCCTTGAACAGCAAATATATCTTAAACCAAACCAATTGGTTCCCGCAGGAAAGCACCTTGTCATTTCAAAGATTGCAGCAATCCTTGGCCACTAACACCATCTAATACAATATGAAACAGCAAGGCACAATTTGTAAATAAATTGTCTCCAAATTTAAAAGCAGTTTCACATAAATTTTTAAAAAATATATAAAAAGTATGTTCCGATACAGATGAAACAGGTGGTTTTTTTTAAATAAAAAAATCAAATTAACTTCTATTGACATTCAAATCACACCAAAGTATATGTGAGAAGATGACAAAAATGTAGCTTCACCCTACAGGAACTAGAACTGTGATGTCAGTAAATAGTATAATATGAATTCAAACCCATTGCCACAAAAGAAAAAAAGAAATTGTTAAATATAAAACTGTTATTGTTTAAGTAAGTTAAAACTGCCTGTGAATGAGAAGGATATTTGTATTTGTCAGCCGAAAGCTTAAAAAAAAATTTTTAATGTCAAAAGTTGAAACAAATTATGCAGTTTCGATAGGTTAGAGGTTGAAAGAATGAAACAAGAAGAAAAGAAGAAAAACATCAGTTGAGATGAACAAGTGAAAAATTAAAAATTGTATATGTAATTGAAGTGTATATGTAGATAATTATGATAATTAGTACACTATAGAAATTACACAAATGAGAATGCACAGCCATGGTTGAGAGGCTTAGCAGTTCACCATGTACATACCACTGATTGTCCATTACACTGGTAGTCTGGCACCCTGATGCAATTCACGAAGGTAGAACTCTTGACATTTCAACACAGACATACTTTCTCTCTTTTTCTTTCTCTCTCTCCCCCCCCCCCCCCTTCCCCGAACCCTCTTCCCTTACTTAAATAATCTTTTTTTTAAAAAGGGGAATCCAGAATTCTAAAACAATCCTTTTTTTCTTCCACATTTGATTCATGATTTGTCCCAATTTGGAAGAGCGGGAGCACATGTCAGCAAAACAACAGCAGTGTTCATCCGATCTCCTGTAGATACATCCGATCTCCTGTAGATACATCCGATCTCCCGCAGTGTACCTCTGATCTCGGCCTCGTACCCGCCTCTGCCTCACTTACGAGCATTGGCCAGACCCTCACCGAAGACTTTCAAAGTGAGCTTCACGTTTTCAGGAGTGCAGTTGTATCCCAGAATTCCAATACGCCACACTTTTCCACCGAGGTCACCCAAACCGCCGGCAATCTCGATTTTATAACTGAAAAAAATGAAACGAAGTGGATATCATAAACATATAAATGTGAGATATCTGACAGGCTGTGAGAAAAACCATCAGCAGGTGCAGAAGGATATCTGGAAATATCGCCTTAAATAGAACTAGAACTTGTTTCTATCACAAACAAATTTACGAATGGAAAGACAAGTCTTTTTTAACATTCAATTTGAAATGAAATGGAGGAGGGGTGGGGAGCAAGTAAATTGTCTATATTTTCAAAATATTTTACAGCCTTTAATTTTTAAGTTAACTTTTTTTTTACCTTTAAAACGAAAGACCACTTGATAAAATTTTACTTTCTTGCCTGTTTTCACAGCTATTGAGATGTTGAAATAGAGCTATCATTCTCTAATCAGGTACAGTCGACAGACAAACTCAGCAGCTTCTCTCTTCATTCAACAAACAACTTTTTCAGTGTCCTCACTTCAAAGCCCATATATATTTTATCTTGTTTTATTTTTAAAATTTTTCTCTCATTTCAAAGTTCTTCATACACAAGTCAAAATTGAATAATAAATACATACTCACACTCCCTCTTACACAAGCATACAACATCCCCCCCCCCCCTCCACACACACAAAATCTACAATGGAAAAGTGAGAGACATAAATAAAAACTTCTCATTATCTCTTAAATAATAATACTACCAAAGACACGAGAGACTGCATTTGCGCACAAAAGTGAAAGACATGTTCTTAACATGATAAACAGTTGGTTTTTAATGTAACTGACTAATGTTACATATCACTGTAGTGTCCAAATAAAGGGAAAGAACAAGGAGTAATACTTTTGCATTGCATAGTCGACTACGCTCTTCCAGTCGACTCCCTCTGGGATTCTGATGGCGGTAACGCAAGGGTTTCTGATATCCTGAGGACAAAGACAAACAATACTCCTCATTCTCTAAAATGTGAACACAAGGATGAGAAAAGATATAACACATACTTTATTCATAGTAGAATGTATTAACACTGCTTTCATTAGCTTCTGATACGCAAAATAAACATATTAGCATCATTCACCGCTTTCTCTCCATATCCCTCCCCCCTTCCCTCTCTCTCTCTCTCCCCCCCCCCCCCCCCCCTCTCTCTCTCTCTCTCTCTCTCTCTCTCTCTCTCTCTCTCTCTCTCTCTCTCTCTCTCTCAATCTCAGATATGCAAGTGGCAAGGAGCAAAGATAACTTCTTGCCCATGTCAGTCTTCATGAGCATAAATCATCAAATGAATTCAATAGCAATGAAAAACATCAACTTTTACATGGACTTTGTCTCTAAAAAAAAAAAAAGAGAACAAAAAATCTTGTCACTACCTCTAGACCTCTAACCAAGTCCTTACCTTGTTCTTTACCCAGGGCTCCAACCCTAGTTTCTCCAAGCCTTCATACAGCAACTCAGCGCATTCTCTGTGATCTTTCCAAGATTTCTCAAGAGTCTGAAAATACAGAGAGCGGAAGTCTGTCAATCTTCAGAATTTATTAGTATGTTCCTTCTTAACAAAGAGAAGCACGGTTTCACATCAAGGCGTAAATGATTTCTAAAGATTGGGACAAAACAAAGAACACCTCGTAAAGTATAGCTGAACCTGCCCTAATGGCCACATGCCAAAGACATTCACCTGTACAAACGACCACTTCCCACTTTCAAACTTTGCACTTTTAAATATAATATGATGATACCATACAAGATGTTCACCTATCTAAGATGGTAGGCGGGTGCTCTGGTGTGGTTTGCTTCTTCTTTCCTATCAAACATCTATCGTCTTTATCTCTCCTCCTTCTTTTTCATGTTTGTAACTCTCTTGTAACACCTCTAATCTTCGGCACTTATATGACCTTATTGTGTTGCAAGTGCCGTAAAACTCTTACTAAAACTAAAACGAACCCCTTTCTCCTCGACAAAGGGTGGCCCTCTTGAAAAATTTTGACTGTACTTCGTTACACGATAGAAACAACAGACAAATAGACAGTGTGTAAAACCTTTCAGTGTCACCCTTTAACCACCCATACAACATCAAGCAGTTGGAAATGCAAAGGTGACAGCTCGGTGTGTGGTTGTAAATTTATTTATTTTTTGGGGGGAGGAGGGGAAGGGGGAGGGGGAGGATGTGTATAGTGGTTTACATGCCATGTCACAAGTGCATGAACTAGTCTCTCTTTTCACGATATAGGTTAGCACATGGTGTAGCGGTGGTAGTGGTAGTGGAAGTGGTAGTGCTAGTAGTCATAGTAGCAGACAATGCAAGGAGTCTCTCCCTCTACCCTACAATCGCAAAACAAACGGTTGTCTCTGCGCCAGAGGTGCAGCAAACGAATCTTCACAAGTCAAATTCTCGTTATTTGTCTGTCAGTTTGCAGGTATTACTAGTAGACTGTTTGTTATTTACACAGAATTAATTAGCCAGACCCAACACTTCTGATCTGTGGCTTATTTCTTTTATACTTCAAATCCCAAACAGTATAAATACAGTTTTAAATTTACTAAATAAAAAACAAAACCTAGACACCTTAAGCTATAAACAGTTTGTGTGGACTTTTCTTTGCCCAGTTCATAAATCTTATATTTAAAAACAGAAAGACAGACAGCAGAAACATTGATCATGTATGTGTAATGAGATGTAACTTTCCCAAAGCGGGGGGGAGGGGGAGGGGTTGGGAGGGAAGAAGGAGAATGAGAGGACTTTGACAGGATATCAGTAGAATGTGAATAAAAGAGGAGAATTTGTCAGGCAGTCGATATTTTCAGAAATCACAAACTTTCCTCACAAGAGGCCCTTCCCCCTCTTACCTCCTCTGCAAGCCGAGCGAGACCTTCCCTCAGAGCAAACACAGTCGACACCTGGGCTGTGTGATGATACCTGTATCAAGGAAAGACAAATGTGAAAGTACCACAGACTGGCATTCTTTTTTTTTTTTTCAGTTTTAGTAAGAATTTTACAGAACTTGTAATTTAGTTAAGTCATATAAGTGCCAAAGATTGTTACTAGACAGTAACATACTAAGACTAGAAAGAGGAGAGATATGACAATAGATGTTTGAAAGGAAAGACTGGGCAAACCCTAACATAAAAGGTCATGAAGCCAGTAAAGGGATGAAAACACTTCTCCAACCAGTACTACCAGTACCCACGACTGGCTCACAAAGGTACGGTACACTCCCGCCCGCCACCGCTTAGTCTCCTCCTTTGACACAATTAAGATTAGATCTATTTGGGAGACGGGCTTCCAACCTTGTCCGTCAGGGCCAACTCGGGCTGAGAGGGATAAAATATCCCAGGAGGAAGACTGAGATACACGTTAAAAATTCCTAATCAGGAATGGACCTCGGGTCTTCTGTGTGCGACAGTGAAAAATGCTTAATTGCTACACCACAAACGACGGTAATCTTCTCTGTGATTTCCACTGACTGGCAGACATTTTACTGTGGGAAAACAAGGAACAATCCCATTACGGGATGAGAAGGTGGAAAGTAGCTTTGTTATAACCACAGAGTAGTACATTGATACAAAAATGGAAATTTAGTGAAAAGTATCATACTGATGGGGGAAACAGTTCTTTTTTTAGTTTGATTTATTCATCTGCTTTTTTTTTCGGGGGGGGGGGGGGGGTCAATTCTTCTATCCTTCTTTAGTATAAAAATTTGCATCGTCAGCCAGCTGTTAAAAACGTACTACGCCCAAGATTTTGATTTTTTTTTTTTTTTCATTGCAGTTACTTAATCTCTGGTATTGGTTGCATGTGCTAAAGAAAAAAAGTTTTTGGCAAAATTTTAAATGCCGAAAAAATACATAACTTTGAAACAATTCTTAAAAGAAAGAAAGTTTTTCTTCTCTCTCCTGTCAGTTTTGCTTTCTGTGCTTAGTACATTATAATAGCTTACCGACAACATATTTAATGAATACATTCAAACATCAATGAGACTGGATATTTTGAAACGATTTTATAGCTTAAAATGGTAATTTTTAAAATATTTTCTTTTCTTTTTTCGTTGTTGTCGTAATTTGAGACAAAATACAATTTTTTGAACACACAAGGTTTTCCATTCAAATGGCAGCTTACCTTCTTGGATGCTCATCACAACCCCAGTAGTTGGCCAGTTCTTTTGCATCAAAGTAGAATGACCTCACTCGGGTCTTTCTGCTGGCAATTTTGTCTCTGTTGCAAAAAAAAAAAAAAAACAATAGCAAAAAAATCAAAGCATGTGAAATGATGGTACAATTCTCTGTTCATTTGTAATGCAATACATGACGATTCCCCAAATGCTGTTGCACTCCAATGCAAGTGAAAACATGTTTTAATAAAGTTTTTCTGATATAAAATTTTTTTCTGGTTTTATCAGGTTAATTTTAAGCTACCGTTTCTCTGGCGACTCTTATTGTAGAAGTAACATTAATACGTCAGGAGAAGCAGAGTTTATTTATCAGCACCCTCAAACAAAAGCTAAAATGACATAACACAAACTTCCTAAACAAGGCAGTTTATTCCATGTCACCGTCTCGGCCTTTCAGAAGAACATACTACGTTGCAACCACCTAAGTACATATTTTTGCCAGTAACAGAAATTCTGTAATAGTTAACTTTGTTTGTTTGAGTAAAGAGAAGCATATCAAACACAGTAATAATAGTCATTTAATGCTGAGAAAAAAGTAAGGCAGACAGACAAAAACAACAGAGGGAAAGTAAAAAAGTAGGAGCTACCATGGCGCCCTCCAACAACCCGAACTGCTGACAGTCAACAAGCATTATATTTTGCAGTTGGGTGAAGAGAGGAAAGTAGACTACAGTATTTTTACAAGACAGCAAAGCCTTATCTGTGCAACTTACCAGGAGCACGCAAAAAGTAAAGTGAGAGGAAGGGAACATAAAGATAGAGAGAATGAGAGAGGGAGGGAGTGAGGGAGGGAAAGAGAGAGAGAATGAGGGAGAAAGAGTGTATTTGTGTGTGTATGTGTGTTTGTGTGAGTGTGTGTGTGTGTGTGTGTGTGTGTGTGTGTGTGTGTGTGTGTGTGTTATAGCGAGTGAGAGAGCGAGAGAGAGAGATAGAGGGAGAGAGAGAGAGAGAGAGAGAGAGAGAGAGAGAGAGAGAGAGAGAGAGAGAGAGAGAGAGAGAGAGAGAGAGAGAGAGGGGGGAGGATGAAGACAAACAGACAGACAGACAGACAGACAGACAGACAGACAGACAGAAATAACCACCAGACTCACCTGGCTCTCTGTGAGAAGGAGATAGGACTTGTGCCTGGAGGTGAGCACAGCACTTTTTGGGAACCCGCGTAGAGGATGTCAATGTCTGCAATGGCAGGCAAACAAAACAAGGTATAAAGTCAAAATCTTTTCTTGATTCCCTGTAGATTTCTTGGCCGAAGGGCTAGAACTCAAATGGCCGCTGGATTGGAAAAGTAAAGTAAAGGTATTCCTATAGATATTTCACGTTCATATGCTCCAATGTAGTTTGGAGCACCGTAAAACTCTTACGAAACTAAACTCACTTTAGATATTATACATGTAAATTGTAATCTAGTGCTCTTCAAGATACGAAATAGATCATTTCAAGGAGGCGAAATATAGAATTATAGATAATTTCGAGGGCGGAAAAATTTCGTCATTTTGAGGGTGCGAGATATAAAATAGATCATTGTGACGGTGTGAGATAACAACTAGGGCTGGGCGGCTATGTTCCCGATTAGTGAAAGTTAGGAATCGTTGGAATCGACTCCGAACCAAATTACTTACTTTCTAACGATGTGATTTCTCCCGGTGGTTACTTGATTGGCTCCGAACTTCTTCAGGATTTATGATAACCTTGATTTCAGAACACTACGAAGCATCAACTTTTATTTTTCAAAAATCATCATCATCCAGTGCCAGATCTGCGACAGACATCGGCGATCATGGTTCTCCATTCATTCCTTTGCTCGAATGCTCTCAAAAAAGCTACGTTTCCCTGATCTTTCTCTGTTACATTTAGAATTCTAAACAAAAGAACATTTTAATGATTACAGTAACTGGTAACCGTTGGTATATATAAAAAGGAGTCGGAACTTCTCTTCCGCAGCATTAATCGTAGGAATCGGTTCCGGAATTGAATCCTCGCCCAGCTCTAATATCAACTGACCATTTCTAGGGAGGTGAAATATAATGTTGGTCATTTTGCAGGAAGGGGAGACAAAAAGTACATTTATCTGAGGGCAGGGAAAAATTGATTATTTTAAGTATGAACAATCTCTCCATATATAGTTTTTAAAAAATGAGAATACCATCGAGGAAAAGAAAGACAGCGGTCAATAGCTTCTGCATGAATTTAAATGACAGGTTTTTGGAAAAACATGACATGACGAGATTACCATTATAGAGGTAGATCCTACCAAATTACGATGCTCATGAGACACACACCCAACACACACATACTGACACGTACACACACACACCAACATGTGTAACACACACACACACACACACACACACCGACACACATACACACACAAACAAACACATATATATGTCACACACACACCCACAGAAACACATATACACACAAATACACAGACACATCAGAATATAAACGGACAGCTTACCCCAGGCATCCATGTACAAAGGATATCCTCCCAAAATAGCTACAGAGTCCACCAGGAGCAAAGCATTGTACCTGAGGCAGATCACAATAGAAGAGAGAGTTACCACCACAACTACAATCCCGCTGAAGGGGAGGTGGGGGGGGGGGGGTCCGATTGGGTTGGGAATGAGGGTTGTATTTCATTTTAGTAAGAGTTTTACAGCACTTGCAACACAATAAGGTCATATAAGTGCCGAAGATTAGAGGTGTTACAAGAGAGTACCAACACAAAAAAAGAAGGAGGGGTGAAAAGGACGATGGATGTTTGATAGGACACAGGGAGCACACGCCAACTACCCACGAAGGATATATTTACAAACAAAGTGCACTGGCAACGTAGAGAGAAAGATATGGAGATAACATCATCTTATCCAAAGCAAGGGGATCAAATTTCCAGACGTGAGAACATCATCCATTTTCATTCTAAACAGAATCACAAAAGCTGTCAGATATTTACAAGGATACTAGGAAGCTCTAAGGCAAAAATTATAATTTATAATCACACAGAGGTATGAAATGTGAGACAAGAATGAAGGGGAAAATGGAAGGGGACATACAAGAAGTCCCATGAACCACAGAACTAGCAGAACTAACTAACAATGATACAGAGGATGATGACATTTTTTTTTTTCTGGGACAGTTTTGCTTGAGTGGTTGTGCAGTCCAAAGATTCATTAGAAAATGGGTTATACTTAGCTAAAATTGTGAACATCTGTCCAGCCTTATCCGATGCAGGAGGAGGAGGAGGAGGAGGAGGAGGAGGAGGAGGAGAAGAGGGAAGGAAGGAGGAGGAGAAGGAGGAGAGGAAAAAGGAAGGAGGAGGCAAAGGAGGAGGTGAAGAAGAAGATAATAGGCTTTAAAAAAATTCTGCAGAAGTTGAACACCCCTTCCAACAATATTAAGTTGCTCCAAAAAAGGCACCTTTGAATTTTAAGTCCATCTCTGGTAGGACAAAGCAAAGTTCATGAATGCTCCTTCAGAGGACATAAACCAGGTTATCCCCATCATAACCCAGCAAGATACTAACCGAGCTAAGGGTTCCCCTCACAACTTTACAGTCTTTCATACTTCATAAAGGGGGCTCTCGCGGTCAAGAGGTTAAGGTGTTTGCCTCTCATTCTATAGGTCTCAGGTTTGAATCCGGATAGCGTTAAAGATTCCTTGGTGGTCCAAAATCGATAGGCGTTGGCTTCGGCCACCACCCGCGCAAAATTCAAAATTTCCTACAAACTAAAAATGTTTGATGTTTGGTGTGTCCAGAGTGCTCATGTGACCTTATGAAGTTGCGAGCACAGTAAAACACTTATCCAAGAAACGAAAAAAAACACTTCATAAAAAATGTAGCCTTTTAAAAGTCAAACATCTGTCTGTCTTATAGAAATTTAAACAAATTCTCTGGCTCAGAAACAATTTATCAAAAAGTCTAAAAAACGATTGAAAAACTTTAGCCCACCCAAAGGAACAAGGAAACAAGGGAGATAAAAGTCGGCACTAACTTGTGACACAGTTCGCCGAGTCCTTCCAGGGGCTGTGCTGTACCTCCAGATGATTCTCCGTATGTAATAAACACCATGGCAGGCTTGTGCTCTTGCAAACCCTACAGAGACGGCCATAACAAAGGAAACCGTTAGCCATCTCCACAGCGACAGAGGCACTAGTCATAACAATCAACAAAGCTATAGAAAAGCGTGACAAAGTGTTTGAGTTTGAGTAATAGTTTTATCGTCCTTGCAACATATATGGACCGTACAAGTGCCATTGATAGAGGGGTTACTAAAAAGTGATATACAAAGAAAAGGTAGTAAGATAAGGATGATAGATGTTTGATAGGAGAGAAGGAGCAAACCGCACCATGAGAGCAATGACAAAGTGTAAGTCACAGTAAAGTGCAGCGACAAGAAAAAATGAGTACAACATTTTTATACACGAGTCAGACCCGACAAATTCATAAAAACAGCATTTCCACAAGAATTTTTGCTATTTTTCAGAAACAAAAATCTAACAGTATGAACATCAGAACCAAGCAAAATCTAGAAAGTCGAGGACCCTCTCTTAGATAGACTAGTTTCGGGTTTTGACAAAACATTTCTCAAGTAAAAGTGGAAAGTCTTCAGCCTCCGTTGCATTTCCGTACCTTTTCAATTTGCTCAAGGGAGAACACCTCACCCATTGGACACTGAATCACGGCTGCAGTTGAACCTGCACAAATACATGCATTGTATTTTATTGTTTGTTGTAGTAAGTGTTTTATGACACTTGTAACATATTCGGTCATATAAGTGGTCAAGATTAGAGGTGTTACAAGAGAGTAAAACAACACAAAAAGGAAGGAGGAGAGATCAGCATGACAGATGTTAGATAGCAAAGAAGGAGCAAACCACACCAGAGCACCTACCAACCATCCACTCACATTTTATACAGTCATCCCAGGCCTACAAGACAGTAATTTAGCAATACCTTGAAATGAATGAATCAGTATTTGGTAAGCAGAAAACGGACAATACATAGATCTACATATGACAATGACAAAGACAGAGAAGTATTATGATAATATAATGTGATTGACTGTGGTATGTGTAATTTCAGATGAACAAGCTTGCAAAAGAAGTTATTTTGAAGTTGTAAGAGCCTTCAGGGGATACATGACTAAAAAATAGTATGACATTAAAGAATTTCAAAAGGTTCTGTCTAAACAACTAAACGTTACATCTGCGTATAGGCCTACCCATAGCATTGGGCAAATACCCACAGCATGGTGGAAAACAACCACAAAAACAATAAATGAGAGTAGCCAGAATCATAACAGGAGACGGAACTTATAAACAAAGAAAAAAAAATGACATGATAATATTATCACATCTTTTCATCATGACAAATAGTATTTTAAAACACTCTTCTTTAAAAAATTCTCTCCCTCAACCAACTCTTCTGATTCCTATAAAACTCCCTATTCCCATATTACCAAGCACCAAATGATGTTTCAAAAATGTGTGACCATGTGGATTTCTATACCAGAAATGTTGGAGAAGAACGATAAATAACCCACCCAAGATACATACACCCACACACACACACACACACACGAAAACAGATACTTCTTTTTTGTGTGTGAGAGCACAGACAAAACATGACAGACAAAAAGAAAGAAAAAAGCCAGAATAATAAAAGAAGTACAACCTATTAGAGTCCCCTCCCCTCCTCTCAAACAAGCTGCATGCATATAAAAACACACATATAATTCACATATATGCACACAAAACATTTCACAAAAATTTGGTAAAGGTTTCATTAAAAGGTCTCCATTTGGAACTTTCTTGATCTTCTACGTGCATCCGAGGGTCTCCACTCTCTGTAGGCCCACCATGGGGGTAACCATGACATCAGGCCATAATTCCTCAGTTCTCCAGGTATCGTATCTAAGGACATCCATCACTCACCATTCCTGTCCACCATGTCAGCGAGCCGCTGTCCCCAGATCCCATTCTGACAAACCAGCGCCACATCTCCGGGCTCCAAAATATTGGCTACGGAGGCCTCCATGGCAGCATGACCTGGGTTGTATAACAAACAAGAATAAGACGATCTGCCCCACAAAAACAGTAGTGTGTACAGGTTTAACAAACTTACTAGACAGAGACTGGTCATTTTGAAGCAGAGAACTTGCCTCATTATGCTAAGTTCAATCGTGTAAAGAGAAGCGCATCGGTAAGGCAATAGTCATTTTGAGTAGGGACTAAAGACTTTGTTCATTTGAGTAAAGAAAAGCAAAACCATATTATAATGGTTAGTACATGGAAAGATTTATTGAGACGGAGAGACTGAAACAACTGAGAGGAAGAAAAGAAGTTGGATGGACTAGTGTTTACTCCCACCCCCTTGCTCAAACTTGAATTTCATTTTTGTGAAAATGTCTAAGATTAAATAAAACTTTTATAATATAAGTACTATAATGTTTAAGGTCATGGAGACCACTGCTGACATTTCAACAAGCGTAGTCATGCACCCTGCTTCAGGGTCAACAAACATGACACCACCCCCACTCTCCTCTCCCTATGCAGGAATTAATTTCAGCACGATATGTTATAACCACTTAAAAAACAACACAAAGTTGAAAAACTGGTTATATGAATGATATCACGAGCCACACCAGACATGAGAGGCATGTAGGGTAAGGCTTCAACAACTGCTGTCTGTGACCTTGAAGAGATAAGATAAGAAGTGGACAGCCCTCATGACCCCAGATCACACTTACTCCACTCTCCCAGTACTACAAGGCAAAGGAGACGAGATAGAGAAATGAAAAGGACTCAGAGTTTTCGCAGTGTTGAAGTTATCCAGTCTCTTGCTGTCAAAAGGAAGAATAAGTCGGCATTGTCCTATTCTGGATTTTAATCCTTCAAGATTTTTGTATGACTATTTCAGTAATAGCCTACTGCGCATTTGAGTATTCATTTTCTTTACTAGTATTTTTATGTTAAAATTTCAGTATTTCTGTATTTAAGTATTTCTTTGGACCTGTTTTCAACAAGGCTGAGTTTCTTCTCCAAGTCTACAACCAATATGTCCATGCCTACCACTGATAACCATAAGCACAAACACAAGACAGGCTTGTCAAATAACCTGATAAAAAAAACAGGGCACATTTGCCAGGGTTAAGAGGAAGCCGCTATTTGATATCTCTTTGAAACAGTTCGGAGGTCAAATAGTAATGACCCCAAAAGAAACACACATTACATTTTCACTATTCCCGAAGGCCACAAATATACAACAGAACTTTCTGTGTCTTTTAGCTGACATAATACGTGAAAAAAACAATAACAAGTCAACCATTAAAAACATGAGCCCTGTCAGAGAAAATGCTTGGCAGTCATGATTAGCGTGTGACAGAGGGACAAGAGTTTAGAATGAGAGATGGTACTGCACAATTCAGGGCACTCAGCAGCATGTTATTTTTCTTTAATAAATTAAATGTTGCTCATAGATGCTCAATGGATGAATACATAGCACAGCAATCTTGTACTGTATTGGAGTTCTTATGGGGAGTCAGAATTACCCAGTATTGATTTATGGATATTTTCTTATTAAAATTGGCTTTGCAGCCAGGTTTTGAAGTGACTACAGTTTGTCAACAATGTTGGTCATGTGTAAAGGCATAATGACATTTTGGGGGGTATTGTGTCCTGATTTGGTGCCGATTTTTTAAAACTACGTAAAAAAAAGTGCCAACATGGTAGAAAATGTACTTCAAGAAAAACAAAACAAGAAAAAGGAAAGTTGTTTGGTCTGTCATGATGAGATGATGAGTAGATGATGATGATTGTGATGATAACAACAATATTGATAATTCTGAAGTGTTGGTAAAGGCATAATGACCTAATAACTGTGGATAGAATGGTACACACTGCGAGGAATTCTCTTTCTCTCATCAAGACTTCTTTGGAATGGTTAGCTTATCTATTAGCTCTTCTTCTCTCATGATAAAAATTTTCTTTTATCTGTTATGGTTCAGATTACATCGTTTTAAGTATATTTTTAAAACCCATCAAGCAAAACCAGTACAAAAATAATTTTCTCTCTTTTTCTCCTCTTTTTTTTATATGAGCTGTCATTTCAATGCAAAATTAATAACAAAAACCATAGTTAGGTTAATTATTATGAAACACATTTCAGTCCTGCATACAAGAAAACAAATCTGCAGTAGATTTTAACCCATGGACCCCAACGCACACCGGAACATGTGTTATCCTTTATACCTTACAGTGCACAAAACACACACCTCAGTGAGCGGAGAGGTGAATGTAAGCTATGCTGTCAACTCAATATAGCTCAGGTGTATGGGTCCTGTACACTCAGGAGACCAGGGCTTAAAAGCAGTTGAAAACAAACAGACATTTTCTGGGGTATGTCCACACAAATGAGGAGGAAAGGAGTTTTAAAAGTCTCCACATTTCTTCCTACGAAAAACGAGTTGCACACCACACAGTGAAAAAGTTTTGAGCATAACCATACCAACTAAATTCAACTGTCATGGATCAAAACTATGTTGTTTGAAAAATTTTCAAGACTTGACAAGAAAATTATTAAATTAGCTGAAAAGGACAAAAGAAAAGAAAAAGAAAAAAAAAAGAAAAGAAATTGCAACACTGACTTGGCAAACTGAGTTTAAAAAAAACAACCGAACTAAATAAATCTCCAGCTCATAACTATTGTTCTGGCTATAAGTTTCAGATAAGTCAAATATCCATATAAGATCTTATTCAAATTCAAGCTTTACCTGTGCCAGAAATAGCAAACGTCCACTCATTTTTAGTCTGAAATGCATACTGTATTCCTTCTTTCACTTCATCCATAATCTGAGGAGCACAATTTTAAAGGAAATATAACCAGGGCACCACGAGTAGGAGGACATTGGGGCAATGATCATCAGATGAATAAGTACATAAAAAGACTACTACCGTATGAAAGCATCCTATGTTATGATACAAAAATTCTGTAATAGATAAAGTCATAGTCCTCTTTACCTGAACCATCTTTTCTCATCTTACTACTGCATACGTCCACTTTAGGTAGGCTACCAGAAAATTCAGGAAAGGTTCACTTATAAATAGCTATAGACTATTGAATAGTAAAGCAGCTTGGGACAGGAAGAAATTTTGAAAAGAATTATCTTTCTCTGACCAGCAGAGCCCAAGTCCAACAACAGAGACGTATTAATAGAGAGCTCTTCTTATCATCAACATCTTCTGAACACTAAGGATCAAGAGCTTATGAAATTATATACAAAGTACTGCACATAATATTATGTTTGACAATCAATAACATAACCAGTCAACAATTATAAGGGTTTGAGCGGAGAAGGTAAAGGCATTTTTTCATCAAGTGTATGCTTAGAAAATACAGAGGAAATACAGTTAAGTCAGTCCACAACTTTACGAAATAAAAGTCAGTGTCAATGATTTTGGGAGTCAAGTGTCTTAAGCTTAATAATGAATAACATGAACCAATAAGACAATTCAAGTAAGGTCTTAACAAATAACTAGACAAAACATTTCAGTTGGAATTTCCATAAGTTTAGAGATTAAATTGAGGGATTTTTATGGGGGAGAGCGGGGAGGCTTTGGACACTTTTTACGTTTGGCTCCACTGCTCGCTTCAGGAACAATTTAAACCTAAGAGAAGGTTTCACCATTATTGTAAGCCATCTGAGCATCACCACTTGCGATATTAGATTCATGCATCATCACGTTATACTGCCAGAGTATTTTATCTATGGTACCCTAAGATGTCCAAAACCACCCCACTCTGAAGGAGACAGCGCACAAAAGTGAAGGAAACTTCGGATGAAAAGGGGTAACTTCGGACAGTGTGTCTCATGTATCAAATATTATTTTTGAGAAGCAAAACTTCAACACAGTATAGATCTATACGTTTACCTTTCGTTTGAGGTGAGAAAATATATATCACATTCACAGGAAATCGTAGAAAACAGAGATCAAACCATCATGTATAAACTAGCCCAGTTTTATATACAACTAACTGTACACGTTGGCTTGAAATATCTCTTTGTCATTGTAAACAGAGCTCAGTAATGCCCCTAAATAACAAGCTAGTTTTTGTAGTGATAAACAGAGATAAAAAGAATTCTTTTCCATGTTACTTTCCGAGTCTGTCAACGTCTGGATTTGGTGAGATTACAGCACTAATGAAGGTGCTCCATATAATGCTAAACTATTATTGCTATTTCTCTCTGAGCGACACCTTCTGTTTCGAATCCAGATAGGCGTGTTCTTGAACATGGGTTGTTTGAAGGGTTATCAATAGTTTTCATGGCTTCCTGTCATGTCTTAATGGAAAAAGACGTAAATACGGAGATCCACCATCTCAAATGATCTGACAGTTACCATGTTCCGGGAGGCGTACCATAACCAAAATCAAACAGCTATAATAAAGGAAACAAAGTCTGCTGATTAAAAACAGTAAATCAGACTTTTCTGTTTGAAAGAACTTCACTTGGTGCACTTTAAGCTTTTGAAAATGAAATTCAAACGCACTGGACACTTTAATGCTATTAGAAACATGAATGGATGCCATTTTAACTGCAAACTTACAGGAGGAGGAACTTCTTTAATTTTTTGTTGAGGTTCAGATCAGAGGAGGAATAACTGGTCTCATTTTAAAATGGCCAAATCTTCCACAGGTGGATAGATGAAAAATAAAAGAATTGCTTTCTTATTAGATTTTTCTAAGGGAAGACACTCAAAGTCACCCTCTTCGTCTTCTTCCGACACCATTTTCCCAACAAAGGGAACACACTTCCCAATAATCCCCAAGTTTGATGACAACAAAGTTACGTTCCTTAGGTTCCATGGCAAAAGCGCCACTTTCGAGCCAGAACCCAGAAAGTCAGTCTTTTCTGGTATATTTTGTTCATGAGCCATGTTTCTGGTATGATTATAATGTTCGCTATGGCGGATTATGATATATATAATGACAAATGTCGGGTTAGAAGAACATCCTTGAACATTTTATAAAATACTCCGATAATTTTTTTCCCCAGAGGATCGTAAACAATCGTGCAATCGTAAATGGGTGTCTCTAAAACGCACTGATGTCTTCACACTGTTTTAAATAGAATCTTGTCAGGTAAATTTCTTCACATTGTATGCAGCTTCCGCACGATACAAAGACAATGAGTCATTAACAAATGGCAAGTTTCATCTTTTCTGTAACTAATAGGCTCTTTTCTTTTTGAGGGCTCTATATATTTTTACCTTGACATGGTTGAGTATGGGAAATATAATGCAAATTACGTTTATAAAATTCAATTTTTATAAAAACTCTGATTCCAACGACTCTCACGAAAATCTATTAGTTGTCGGAAGACTTCAAATAGTGTACAAAATCAACCCATCCCATGTACCGAGGGCTCTCGTGGCCTAGAGGTTAAGGTGTTGGTCTCTCATTCAAAGGTCCAGGGTTCGAATCCGGGAAGCGACCAAAATATTTTCTTCTCTAAAATTGACTCCTTTCACCTCCTTTCCTGCTCTCTAGTCTAGCAATGTTCTGTTGTATGCTTTCGTCTCCTCTTTGTGCCCCCACCCCTTCACATCCTTTGTCCCCTCCTCTGGGCTCCTGACTTTCTGCGGCCTTTCTACTGCCACTCCTTGGCTCCTTCGAACTGCGGTCTTTCAGTGACACCCCTGATCTTCTTGTAGGACAGGAAAGAACTACACCTAGCCTTCTCGGACAAGGGCAAAAAATCTCGGAGGGCCCATGTGCAAGATGCGTGCATTAACCCTATCTGTACGTCGTGCTTTACTATTACAAATTACTATCATATCCATATGAAGTGGGGAACTCTGTGCCACCACTTTCCAAAGGGGAAATTTACTCGTTAATTTGATCCATACGCTTGCCATAGCAGTCTGTCAAAACGATTTTTTTTAGAAATACTGAAAGATTCAAAGAGATCTTTGTACTAAATAAATCTAGAACTAGAAATATTCTAAAATGTGAAGAAATACAACCCTGGGGTTACAAAATGACCCCAGGGCGTACGGAGAGGGTTAAAGATCCCTTGGTGGTCTAAAATTTCCTACAAACTAAAAAAGTTTAATATGTCCTACGCGCTCATGCTGTCATAAGGGAAAACGACGATTGGTCAAAAAATTTTTTTTTTAATTTTTACATATTTCATCGAGTATTTAATTCTGCATCTGATGGGGTAAAAATTTTTGTCCTAACCTGTTGTTGCGTAATTGAGAGTTCGTCGTTTTCCCGTACACTGGCGAGCTCTGAGCCAGAGCTCAGTGTAAGGGAGAACAACGAATGGTCCATCGGTGAAGGGTCACTGCTCGTTCTGCATTGTCCCCTTGTCTCTGCCTTAGGGCAAATTCGGCATGCGCGACGAATGACAATTCGTCACTGTTGCATTAGTACACACATACTAGGCCTTTTTAGCAAAAAAAAACACCACCACCGCCTCCTCCCCCTAGTACAATCGACAAGGATTATAACAATGTATCACTTAGTGTGTCTTTCTGTCTGTCTTCACGCATGCTGATGGTGTGAATTGATAAGAGCAGGCGGGAGAGAGGGGAAAACGGATGGGAACAGGGGGTAAGGGGTGGGGATGGGAGGGTTAAAAAAGTATTTAGGGAGAAATTTATTTGCACTGCATATTAGTGTCAACCAGATGTTCACTGACCGACGTCATAACAGTTTGCAGTCCAGTCATTTTACATACCAACGATGGTTATATTGCCGCAGTTTGACTAGCATGTGTCTCTAGTCAACATCATTATAGAATTACCAAGAAATTAATGACACATTGATATGAGAGTTAATTTCTTTGTCCAACTTAAAAAGTTGGACGGTATTGTGGCGACACTTAGTCTTGCTTATATACAATTTCTTTATGACTTGATGGACGTTACGATTGAGTATAATAATGTCTTGCAGATTCAAACTGTCCTTGTCAATCTCTACTTGGTAGTATGTTTTCCCATCAATTAAATACTTTATTAAATACGACTGATGCTGAGCAAGGCTTCGCATCACCTCACCTGAGAGCGTTAGCGATACAATCTTGTCAGATTGCTAAATTAAAATTTCTTACGAGAAAGTTTGACTTTGCAATGATCTGATCGTATTATTGACGTTGTAACATTATTGATCCCTTTGGTCGTGCAGGGGGAATGTTGCAATTAGTGAAAATAAAAGTAAAACAAGCTTCTAAAGAAGACCAAACTTTGATTCCAAACGAGACAGTTAAATCAAGCTGTTGAAAATGTGGGCACATACATCTGATTTGTACATTGACTGTGTAGTATTTAACCAAGCAAGGAAGGAAAATGAAGAACGCTTACCGAGTTACAGTTGGAATAAAACAAACACCTAACTTTATACGCATATAATAGCTAGTTTATAGATCTACGTCTTTAAATTTCTATTTGTAGTAACCTGTACAGTCATCACTGTCAATATAAGGCGTCACAACTGACCATCGGCCACGTCCATAACCCTTCACCAGTCGAGAACGATGAACGGTACCATTCATCGTTTTTTTGCGTACAATGAAAGGCTCACCAGCGGGCGCGCAGTGTAAGGGAAAACGACCAATGTCAAATAAAGTTGCTACTTTTCAACCTAAACCATTCAAACTTTTGAAACAGCTTTATGAACACCTAAACCAGATATCTGGTGAAATACAGCTTAAAAGAAAGAAAAATTGAAGAGTTCTAAAGAGAAAACATTTTTAGCCTCTCTTGAAAAATTTGCCTCGCTACCTGTGCAGAACCATTCGTCGTTTTCCCTTACAACGGCAGATATGACCTTATGCAGTTGCGAGCGCGGAAAAAAACACTTTTACCACAAAAATACCCCCCAAAACCGGCGCTTTTTCGGTAGTTCCCACCCCGCAATTGTTATTCGCCGGTTTTGGCCTCAAGAGTAGGGGGGTTTCAAGTTAGCCCCCCTGACCTAATAAAAATATGGGTGGGGGGTTCCAGGTGGGGCATGAAAAATTTTACCATATTAAATGTTTTGCCGTTCTTAGGTTTGATATCTTAACTCGCCGCGCATCAAACGTATAGATTCTAGAGTCTAGATATCTAGATCTAGATTCTAAATCTAGGCTCAAATAAGGGGGGTGCAAGGGAACTACCGAAAAAGCACAAAAAAAACATTCCCTGCACGAAGTTTTCCTATGTGGTTGTGTAGGAAACAATCATGAAGTAAACACTGTGAAAACCAGACAACACACCTGATGTTAGCCTATTGAACCGATCTAGATATCTAGACTAGACAAAATATAGATTCTAGATATAGATCTAGATTCTAGATCTAGAAATCTAGATCTAGAGTAGATCTAGATCTAGATTCTAGATCTAGATTCTAGATTAGATGTAGATCTAGATTCTAAATAATCTAGATCTAGATCTAGATCTAGAGTCTAGATATCTAGACTTCTACATAGATCTAGAATCTAACATAATTTAACATAACATGATATAATAATAAAACAGGCTCGCCATATGGCATGGTTCTCAGCGACTCAGTGACTTACCTTCAAGAACTCAGGATGTAAATGGCCAATCATTGGCAATGCTCCTGCAGCAAGAACTCTTGGGGGACAGTTGGAAGGCCCTGGTCCCATCAAGAGTTTTTTGGGAACATCCATGGGTTTTAACAAACTTTGAGGGGGAGAAGAAACTGCAGGGCCCTCATGCCTAGCAGACGATGAAAACGCAGCCATGACTGCAGCTGTGTACTGACTGGGTGGAACATGTGTTGATGAGACTACACGACAGCGGCAGCCACTGCGCGCTATCGATCGCCTGGCTTGGGAGACAACACAGTCGACCACTTTTCTGCTAGAGGATGCTAGTGCCATTTCTTCCCTGAAGACGAAGAGAAGCCTACACAAGCGAACCTTTATAATTCCCCTGCAAAGACGGAAGCAATACTTTAAACTGGCCTCAACTGAAGAACATAGCCTTTTTATAAACAATTCTGATGACTCTGCAAGTTTATCGGATTACTGTTGAATAATTCAAGCCCAGAAGTCCGAAGGTCTTACTACTAATAACAATTTCATGAAAGCAGTTAACTTACTTTAGCTCTGAAAGATGGAGACGCAGAGTACGGTTGACACGCACAGCACTTTCACCTTAAACGGCGATGATAATTTTGAGTAAGCCTCTATATTCTACTTCACCTAGATCTAGTTTTCGGCCAAACAGAGGAAAGAAAAGTAATAATTAATTTGCCTTCATGATGCCATGACACGAATACCAAGCATACGTTGTTTTATTTATGTTGTTTTTTTTAGCCTAGCCTATCTGCTTTTATTTGACCCGATTTCACCTTTTGCCTTTTACCCCTGAACTTTTTATTTGTTTGTCACTGTTATACACGAAACAATATTAGCAATATCTAAATAATAGTTCTTTTTAACAAAATGTAGGCCATAATACTTATTACAGTATATAAAATCAGTTTTTTTACTCAAAATATTGTTCTGCAATTTCTACATATATTTCTAAAAAAGACTGTATTATTTATATTTAATGTATTATTTTCTGCATGAAGAGTGTCTTATTCTTTTGAATTCTTTAGTTTTCATTGGTTTCAAGATGGCCGAAATTCCCCTCTTACAGTGTGAACACAGTTCTAATAGGCCAACGTGAATAAAAACCAACAGGCATGGAGGAATCTGCAAAATTGACGGACGAAAACGACAACTCCGAGTGTTTCTCTCGTTACACACCTCAACATCCTCTACCAGAAGAATTAAAAAAACTAGCCAGGGATGACACGGTTTGTTTTTGTTTGTTATTGTTACTACTACTGTAGATCGTCGACCGTTGCCGTTAGATCTAAAGGTCTAAAAAAGTGGCCTATCATCAGCAGGCATATACCTACTAGATCTACCAGCCTGCCTATTTTAGTGTTTACTTTTAAAAGGGTATTATTTCAAGTATGACTTTCAACAAGATATAGACATCTAGATCTAGTCTAGATCTACATCTAGCCTCTAGGTCTAGCTTCTGAGTGGCAAAATATGCATTTACAAGAGACATAGTCAAATAGAAACGGTTGCTGGCTTTTGCCAGACAGTAGTCCTACAGAAATGATAAAAGAAAGTAAAGTGTTTTACCCCCCCCCACGTGTACTGTCTTCTTTCGGCTCCACTTTCAGCTCAAGCTGTTGCATGCACCCTTTTGCACCTATTTAAATTAAACGCATGCATAAATTTAAAGCAACCAGTGATTTTTTTAGGGTCTTTCGTGGCTTAGAGTGTTGCCTCTCATTCAAAGGTGCTGGGTTCAAATCCAGGTAGCGATGGAAAAATTTTCTTCTCTATAATTGTATCCTTTCACTTCCTTTCCTGCTCTCTAGCAATGTTCTGTCGTCTGCTTTCGTCTCCACTTTCTGCCCCCACTCCACCTCCTTTGCCCCCTCCTCTGGGCTCCTGACTCTTTCTGCAGCCTTTCTACTGCTAGTCCATGGCTCCTTCTTACTGCTCTCTTTCAGCCACACCACTGATCTTCTGGTAGGAAAGATCTACACCTAGCCTTCTTGGACAAGGGCGAAAAATCTCGGAGGTCCTGTGTGCCAGTTGTGCTTGTTAAAGATCCCTACTGGTGGTCTAAAATTTATAAGAGTAGGCATCGGCCGTATGTGATGTTTTGCACATATATATTTTGCTGTGTTTTGGTCCTGTATATAGTGAACTGTGCATTTGACACCGACAATGCATTGTTGATACACGCTGCTTAAGTTTTGAAATCAAATATATACGGGGTTTTTTGTGTGTAGTGAACATTTTCATGTCTGCAATAGAGCCTGGTGGGTGCATGTAACCTGATCGACTTGATGATGATTGGTGTGTTGGTTTTTCATTGTACAAGCAGGGTGATATTTTTAATTTGAGACAATATTTAGGAAAAATTTGTTTAGTTGTTTTTTTTAGAAAAGCTGTTTGAAAAAGCCATACGGCTGTTTGAAAAAACAGTGTTGTTAATACAAAGAAAATGTAGGAGTTCAATTGTGGAATGACATATTGTATGAGCTATCTGTGATTTGTAGTTTTACGTGTTTGTATTACCTGTTCTTGATTGTATTGCATTTTTTTGTGTATGCAGACTGGATCCACTCTCTTTTTCTATTATGTTGTCTTCTTGGGTGCATTGTGTGTAAAGAAGTTTCATTAACTTCAATAATTTAAAAAAAAATATTTTCTTCACCTTCTTAATCTCTTTTGGTCTCTCTCTGTCTGTTTTTCTGTTTATCTGTATCTCTCTCCTTTTCTCTCTTTCTCTTTCTCCATCTCTCTCACACTTTCTCTCTGCCTGTCTATCTGTCTGTCTGTCTCCCTCTCTCATGTTCTCTCTCTCTCTCCCTCTCTCATGTTCTCTCTCTCTCTCTCTCTCTCTCTCTCTCTCTCTCTCTCTCTCTCTCTCTTTCTCTCTCTTTCTCTCTCTCTCTCTCTCTCTCTCTTTCTCTCTCTCTCTTTTCCTCTCTCTCTCTCCACCTCTCTCTCATGTTCTGTCTGTCTGTCTGTCTGTCTGTCTCTCACTTTCTCCCTCTCTCTCCTATCTCTTTCCCATATTGAGTTACTTTTGTATTAATTTAACATAGGCCTAGCTAATATTTTCATCAAACATTTTTTCATCTCCTACTAGGTCTGCAAATACTGTGGAGTTAGCTACCTTATTCATAATGAAATCAAAGCTTTGGAAGATAAGCTTAAAGCGACGGAAAAAGAACTGGCTGTCTTGCGGGGACAAGAACAGAGGGAAGAGCTACTCAAACAGGAAAATGCTGTCCTGAAACAACAAGTGGACGAATTTAGGACTACAGTACAGGGCAATAATAAACTGTGAGTGGGACGATCATGATAATAATAATAATGAAGATCATTTCTATAGCGCCCACTCCCGTGTAAACACAGCTCTAGGCGCTTTACATAAATGCATGTAAGAAAAATATTCATGCACGCGACACACACACACACTCACACACACACACTCATATACACACAAACCACACACACATATACATATACACACACACAAACACATGCATACACATTCACGAACACATAACACGCACACATGTATGCCAAACATACACACACATACACTCACACACACACACACACACACACACACGTACACACACACCCACACACACACACACACACACACACATCTACTTGCTTATCACACGCACACGATTACACATCGTCACGAAATGAGAATAAAATAATATATACACTGCAATTCACAAAATACATAAATGGATACATAGACATTTACATAACATTGTATCGAACATGAATCTACTGACTTAAAAAGGATGTAATTAAATGTGTCTTTAAAGATTTTTAAAATTTAGACTCAGATGTTGTATGTCTCAAGGGTTGGGGAAGAGAGTTCCAAACTGACGGAGCAAGGTGGACGAACGATCTTTCGGCTAATTTTTTACCGCCTTTTCTAGGAACTCATAAAAGATACTGGTCGCCTGATCTTAGTGATCTAGATGGAACATAAATCTGGATGAGATCACTAAGATATGAGGGAGCTTTGTTATTGACACATTTATGACATAATATTGCAATTTTATATGACATTCTAGCTGACACGGGAAGCCAATGCAACGTTCTTAACATGGGAGTAATGTGGTCCCTCTTCTTTTTCTTTAGTACAAGCATGATCTCTTATTACTTTTAACCCTTTGAGCCCTGACCTCCGGAGGCTACCGTGCCCCTCGGCCTGAGCTCCTGACCGATATATATTACTAACATTCATATTATTGTTGTCAGAATCATATTCCATATATCTCACTCTGGGTAGTCCTCTTCATTACCAGCATTTTATTCAGAAATATCTTCAAATTAATCAATAACATCCTGTGTAGTAAACATGGTTTTCCTTGTGGGTTTTTGCCCCAGACAGGCAGTGTTGGTGATAGGGTCTTGCTCACTGGTGTACAGGTGGCTATAGGCACACGAGCAGCTTTATGCACCACCGGTGTGTGGCTAGGGCTCAAAGAATTAACATTTGCCTTTATTGTCAGACTTCTTTGTTTTTTGTAAGGGATAAAATAAGTTAGTCCTCAATTAAAGTGTAAAGCAAATTGTTTTTGACCTGTATTTCTGTAGTTGGCACTGCGTTTTTGAGACGTTGTGTAAGTTTTTATATTATATTCTAAAACAGAGTTTTAAATATTAAAATTTTCAACTTCAATCTGCTCCCGTTAAAAAAAAAAAAAGGCTTTGTCTCAGACTTTTCATCATCATCATTGCCTTTCTCACCCAAGGTCAGGGTATAGGCCTCAAACAAACACTTTCCTCCTTTTCTTATCCTGGGCTAGCCATGTTCCATGGCTTCCCTCTTTTCTGCTTTTCTATGCATCAATTATCAGATTCTAACAGTGTATAAAATACATTATTTAAATTTTTTTAAAGCAGAAAATTGACCAGCAATATCTTAGACATCTTCGCTTGTCCAGCCTGATACCAGCCGAACTGTCAGCAGGCTCTGTTGCAGAGTTCTTCCATAGATTGTTATATTGTATTGCAACACCTCCCTTCCCAACCCATCCTCCCAAAATACCCCCTCCATTTCCCTCCATTTCCCTCCATTTTCTGGCTTCTGCTCCCCTGCTCACAATCGTATCACCTTGCTCTGTCTGCAGTGACAGCAGCATTATCGTGAGGACAGCCTTCAGTACTGACATTAGTTTTTACAAATTTGAGAGTCACTGATTGTTATAAATCCAAGAGAGGGACTACTTTTCAATCCTCAATGATGTGAAAATACACTTAGGAAAAATCTGTTCAATGAAATCTTCAAGTAAATGTTAATTAAAAAACCAGTTGTATCAATTTTAAAGTCAGTTAATTTATATGTTACACACATGCAAACCCATTTGTACACTCACACTCTCAAACATACACTCACACGAGCACACACCTACTCACACACACACACACACACACGCACACGCACAGACACCACACTCACACACTTATGCTCACTCACTCTCTCACACACACACATACACACCTCACTCACATATACTTTATTACACTCACACACAATAGCACAGACTCACTCACACTGACACACACACACACACACACACACACACACACACAACACACGCTCACACACACACGCACACATATAGACATATAAACATACATAGATACACACACAAAGGCATGCATGCACATTCACACATAAAATGATGGTGTACTATAAATTACTTCTGCTCTTCTATTTTTTTTTCTATTGAATTGTTTTTATCATTATTATTATACTATTACTGTATCATTATTATTATACTATTACTGTTGTTATTATTATTGTTATTATTATTATTATTATTATTATTATTTTTATTATCTCATGTCTTTTAGGATAAGCTCCCTGAACAGTGAAATAGAGACTTTGAAGGGGAATGTAAAAGAGGCCACTGAAGCTGGTGAAGGGTACAAGTAAGTGATTTTTTTTCTTCTCATTTTTGCAGTTTTCTATTTACTGTACTTTTAATTGTACTTTTAATTGTTTCATCCTTTCATGATCATTACATAATATATATATATTATGTGTCATGACGCGTTTGAATGAGGCACTCTTGAGTTTTTGGGCATGTAGAATTATTAGTATCATCGAAAAGCTTGTTTATTAACCTTCTTGCTTTCAATGAAAAGAATACCCAACTATCTTGAATAGAAGTGTAGAAATTTGCAATTTAAGAAGGTGGTTTCAGAGATAAAATTAGCATTTTTACATAGGTGTTGAGATAGAAATTCAAAATTCGATAAAAAATTGACGAGTGGGCAGAAAAATTCCGGTTCCGGTGAATTTATTAATTTGTTTTTAGCAATTCTAACTTTTTCTTTCCAGTACCGAGAAACACATCTTTATTTGTTTTAATATAGGTATTTTTATATCTTCATCAACTCAATTAAGATAATTTAGGAAGCAGGTTTCTGACCCTGCCTCTGAGAGGGATAAATCCCTTTAGAAAGATCGACTAAGATACTCAATAAAACTTTCTACCCTTTCGGGTCTCCTGCAAAGCATCTAATCGTCACACCTCAGATTCCGATAGAAATACTTCGAAGCAATAACTATCATTTAGTGCTTGAAAATAGTCAGACTGATAGTCAGAACCAGCAGAGGGAGAATGCCACAGTTTCAATCTCAAGTTGTAAAACACAGCAGAGATTAAAAACAAAATGTCTTACTTGACACAAATGAGTTGTGTAAATTCAAAAGCAGGCTCCCCACGCTGACTATAAGGCTGGGGGTTTTTTTGTGTAGAGGGGAGTGGGGTGGGTGGAGGGCTTTTTGTTGTGGGAGCGGGGGAACCAGACTTTATAATAATAATAAATTGCTTTTATATAGTATAATATAGCGCTTTTCCCCAAAGAAGTGCTCAATGCACTGTACAATAATACAAAGAACATATGCAGTGCACAGCTCCTATAGTAATCCTCTTTCTCTCTCTCTCTCTCTCTCTCTCTCTCTCTCTCTCTCTCTCTCTCTCTCTCAAGTACATCCTTGAGTGAAGACAATCCCAGAAAGCTTACCCAGACACCCTTGCACACACTGATGAATTCACACAGTCATAAATTCTTACGGAACAGAACTGCATGAATAAATTATACTAAGAGAACGTAATAATCTTTGTATTGGGAATGTTGGAAATTACAGATTGAAGCTTTAGTTGATATGTGTACTGAAAATGACTGAGCAATGGACAGGGTGATGAGCTGGTAATGCTGACCCCTTGTCTGAGAGGCTGTTGCCTTTAAGAAACACGACACCGTCACGGGCGCTGAGACCCTTGCTGGTTGTGCATAAAACTGTTTAATGTATTCTGCTCACGTTCAGGGTTAAAGAAGTTTGTATGAGGAGAGAAGAGGACATAGACACAGTGGCGGTAATTAATTTCCCTGTGCAGTGTCCCCATTTTGTTGCAAACACATCAATTTCCACCATAAACTTTGATAACTGGTTTTTGCTAGTTTTCTAGAACAGATTTTGTTGATCATAGATAGACGGGTTGTGGTGTTTTATAAAGATACCAGCTGGGCCTCCATTCGATGAAAGAAATGATCGGTGCATTAACATCAACTGAAAGTCATTGGCCTACTCTATTTACACTATACTGGAATGGAGCAATAAATCTTGAGAGAAAAGTGACACACGTGTTTCCAGTTGCCAAATATCAATACATATAGACTGATTCACTATTCTGCTTTTGTGGTTGTACACTGCAGAATTTCAAAGGTGTGGAATGATTGCACCTGGCTAGTGAAAGGAGCCCTCACTTGTTTACAATGGTGTCTTAGAACACAGACTTTCCCAAGATAAAAACTCTGTGTGGATGAAGCAAAGCATTTTCAATTTGAAAAAAATCAGGGAAAGTAGTTTGCGTGCATTTTTAAAGTTAGGTCCTAGCCACATGGATGCTGTGGACGCCTGCAAAGTTTCAGAGATGTGGGTTAGGTAATTAGGGAGGAGTTTGTGCACGAAGCCTCCCTAGTCCACTTTTATATATAGAGATATATGTGAAGCGTGCAGACAAAATAAGTTACTTCTCGGATTTGAGCCTTTTATGGAAATGGATACACCACGCTTATAGGTGAAGTTTTTACGATTTATGAATACGAAATAATAATGAGGCATGTTAGACTTAAAGAATATGGCATCAATAAAAAATCTACAAATTTGACCCAAGAGAAAAATCTGGTTTCGATTTTTAGCCAATATATTGATTTGTGGATTGCGAGAAATAATATATATTATTTTTGGTGGCCAAATTTTGCTATTCAAAAGGCTTTTTAATGTCTGCATCGATCGACATGCGGTTTTCACCAAAAGATTCTTTTAAATATTCTCCAGGTCACGACGCCCTTCGTTTTTTCAGTTTTGAGACGACAGTTTTGCTGCAAAAAGCTAAATTTCTTTATTTCACCGATCACTTTTGTAGGCCGACGCTTCTGTCTCTATAATTTCAGAAAATCTGCCAGGTTTATTTATTTCAAGTCGTACTTCCATTCGATACTATCACTATCGCGCATTGTCGCGGAATACTGAGCACTATTTTAAGTGTGCGACCCATACAGATCTAGCCTCACGTTTTCTTTTTTTACATGGTGCTAAATTCGACTGTGATCCTTTCGTCTGATGCCCATCATCGCTTTTTCTGGACTCCTTTGTCAAATTATTTTTCTTGCTGCAGGGAACAATCAACACGCTTCTGTACAACCATGAAAGCGGAATAGAGAATTAATCTATGCATCTATTGTATGTTTGGCAACTTGGAAACACATGTTTCATTTTTCTCTCAAGATTTATTGCTCCATTCCAGTAGAGTGTAAATATAGTAGACCAATGATATTCAGTTGATGTTAATGCACCGACCATTTCTTTCATCGAAAGGGGGCCCAGCTAGTATTATATATATAACTATTATGAATATGAAAACATAGGAGTTTGGTATTTGAATTTATACTGTCCAAATTTGGCTTTTGTTATATTAGGATACTTTCTG